CCCTTTTATATCAGGAACACAATAATTTTCACTTCTGGAAGCCCTGCACGTAGGACAAGTGTCCAGGATTGTAGTAGAGGTGATTCTCTCTTTTCACTCTTTTTTTACTAGGTATAATGACTCTTTCAATTGGTGCCAATATTTGTAGGGTAAATACTAGTTATTTGTAGGTATAATGGCTGTGGGAATTTAAATTCCAAAACCAACATTATTTTCATCCTTTCATGGTGCCATCTCACTCAAAAGTAACTGTCATGTCTCTAGGGACACCCTGTGTTCTGAAGTGACAAAGTATAACTTGATCAATATGCACACAACCATGTATTCTGACCTCCAACTCTCCCTAACTCAACCCCCTTTGGCAGGGCATGGGTTACCTCTGGCAGTAAGATACTCCTGTATTGGCTGGTTTCAAGTGCCCTCAAAATATGCTACTAGGTTTTTTCCCACTACCTAAGCACTACGTCAGTCTACTAAGTATGAATATAATTGAGCAAGTAGTGAGATACAACCTTATGTCTTTCTGACATAGGTATCAAATAGTTTGCAGATGACTCTATCAAACAAACATTTTCTTCATTCCCATGCTCTCATTACCAGATATGCAATAGAAGTCACAATTTATACCTCCACCTATGGCATTTATCATTAAATCTAGACACATATACTCAATTGTCAGTGAGATTTCTACACTTACATTGTTTTCCAGTCACCTTAGAAAGAATATCTACTATTTTTTTCAACATGATTCATAGCTAAAAGTTTTGTTACATACACATTATTGCCATTTAGTTCTTTTTGCAGTATTTATTTTTTTAATTTTCATTTTTAACCTTTATTTTAGGTTTGGTAATACATGTGAAGGTTTGCTACATAGGTAAACACATGTCATGGGGTTTTGTGGTATATATTATTTCATCACTCAGTTATTAAGCCCAGCACCCAATATTTATATTTTCTGCTCCTCTCCATCTTCCCAACCTGAAGTAGACCCAAGTGTCTATTGTTTCCTTCTTTGTGTTTGGAAGTTCTAGTCTTTTATGTCCCATTTATAAGTGACAACATGCAGTATTTGGTTTTCTGTTCCTGTATTAATTGGCTAAGGATAATAGTCACCAGCTCTATCCATGTTCCCACAAAAGACATAATCTCATGCTTTTCTATGTCTGCATAGTGTTCCATGGTGCATATGTACCACATTTTCTTCATCCAGCTTGTCATTGGATGAACATTTAGGTTGATTCCATGTCTCTACTATTGTGAATAGTACTGTGATGAGCATTCGCATGCATGTGTCTCTATGGTAGAATGATTTACATTCCTCTGGGTATATTCCCAGGAATGGAATTCCTCAGTTGAATGGTAGTCTGCTTTTAGCTCTTTGAGGAGTTGCCACACTGCTTTCCACAATGGTTGAACTAATTTACATTCCCACCAACGGTGTGTAATTGTTCCCTTTTCTCCTCAACCTCAGTGGCATTTATTTTTGACTTTTTATTAATAGCATTCTGATTGGTGTCAGATGGTATCTCATTGTGTTTTAATTTGAATTTCTCTAGTGATCAGTGATGTTGAGCTTTTTTTTTTTGTCATGAAAATGAAAGAAAAGAAGTGATTTTCCATTTACACAATCACAAAGTGTAAGTTCACAAAATATAATGCATTGAAATTGGGAACTAGGGGCTCTGGCAGAGGGGATGAACGAAGGCCAATGTTAAGATACACAAAGGCAAGAAAATGGGCACAGAACATGGAGGGAGGGAGGAGTCAGGAAGTCTTGAGAGGCTGAGCAGGCTGGAGGCAAGGGACACATTCTGACCCTTTCACTCTCCACATAGCTGCTCATTGCCCAAAGGACATGTCCTGCCTGACCTAGGAGTATTTTCCCTCTCTATGATGCAAAAACTAAGGAAATGGGTTTCTTCCAATATCAAGAACAGTTCTTTCTGAGAAAGAGCCCTTTTTACCTAGGAAGAAAATTCTCCTTCCAGGGACGCACTTCTGCATAAACAGAACCAACTGCTCCCAACAAACCTGGCTGCTGTCGTGGTCCATCATGGCCAGTAGGTGGCTGCCTGCCCCTGTTAATGTTGTAGTAGGCCCCAAGTAAAATGGAATCTTCCAATTTTCCCTCTTTTCCTGCAGCTACTGTTACATCACGGTAACAGGGGCATTCCCTTGTTTTCAGAAGTATTCAACACAAGAAAAGACAAAGAGTTTCTTATATAAGGGTTTCTGGAAAAACTAAAACTTATACTCACCTTTTACCTTTAATTGCTGTCTCTGTGCTCTTAAAGGGAAACTGATGGACAAAACCTGCAAGGGAACAGAAACCAGCTGTATGAAGAGGCAGAGAAGGTTAAAGAGGAGTGAGGAGGAGCACACAGTAGAGATTTCTAATGGAAGACAAAGGAAACTAAATGATATGGGAGTGAAAATGGGATCCAGAAAAATAGGGGCTGGAGGGGAGGAGGGAAGTATGTCAGATATCAGAACGGAAAAATTAATACTACGTACAGGTCTATTTCACTTCAGTTTAGGAGACTAACCTCTCTTCCAGATATTTCTACAAGCTGCATTTTCCTGACTGAATATATAAACCAGATTTTTCTCCCAACTTAAGGGTGACTATTTTTCAGTGTTCTCTGGAACACTTCCTAGAACGGCATTTTTTTAGACTCATATTTTTGTAGGTAGTTACTGAGGGGTGGGGGGCAGAGTTAGTTCTCTACTCTGATATTTATATGTGTGCAAAGATAATAAAGTGAATAACTGTATTTTAAGCCTCCAATGAGAAATACTTTTAAGTGTTTTTAAATGTTTGTTTAACATTCACAACCATAAATATTTTCTACCCTATATTTACCTACAAAGACTGAAGCTCAGAGAAATTAGGTGAATTTCCTTAGATCACACAGAATTACTGTCAGAATCTAATGTGGAATTCTATATTATATATTATGGGCAGTGTTAAAAGTTTCATATATTAGATTGCTGTTGAGTTTTTTAAAAAGCTTGGATTCCAAAATTAAACAGATATCTTACTCCTTGGTCTTCTTTTAGTTTTTGTATGCTATTGTATTTTGGGGAGCCAGCTTTTACTATTTTTTGCCTTAGATAGTGGAGAAAACTTCATTGATCCAGTTTTCTCTTCTGCCTTATAAGGAAAATTTTCCTAAATATTACATTTATGCAATTTGGTTATTTGTGCATCCTGAAGAACCTGTGATTTTCATGAAATTAATGTTTACATAGCAGATGAAATATAAATTTAATTAGGAAGAATACATTAATAATGCAAAACAATAGAAGAAGAAGATTTCTTGGCATAACTTTCCCTATTAGAAAATGAAATGAATTTATAATAGTAATACTAAAAACAATGTGATAAAGGGGAAAATAAGATTAGCAAACTTTTAAAGCATATATTCTTTGAAATTAGATTATCTTCAGTAATTATATTTAGGATAAAAGATATAGCTGATGTACATGGTAGAAAAAAGTTTTCAATAAATGATTTTAAAATAATAATAAAGGCAGAAATCCAATGAAAAATGTCATATTAGAAACACGAATAAAATCTTGATGGAATGAAGAACTGACAGTGATATTAAATTTTAAATAAGTAAGAGAATTCCTGGTGTATAATTATATGCTCATAAGAAATAGTTCAATTTTTAAAGTGGTGGTTAGTTTTAAATGTACACAAATTTCTAACTTTGTCCTATGAAACAGGATATAGCTACAGAGACTTTGATGGCAAGTTAATGAAATAAAGTGTGCCATCAGGATTTTCTCACCTAAAACAAAGAATTCTTGTCATTTCTAACACTAGAAGAAATTAAGACTGGATTATAAAGCTACAGCAAAACTGTAGTAAACCAGTGTGACAACAATGTAAGTTAAGTAACAACTTACAAGGCCAGTACTTCCAGGTGTCATTATATTATCATCATTAATTATTTTGGTGAAGGATTGGATTAGTTATCTATTACTCCCTAACAAATTAACATAAGCTGGGCAGCTTACTGATATTCAAAGTAGTATTAATTAAAACAATAATAAAGTGTAGTTGTATATATTATAATTTAAAATAAATATATTACATATATTAATAGTTTGCTAGTACATCAGTTACATGAAACGTATCCAGAAAAATATATTGAGAAAAGGAAATACTATGGACAGAAAATGTAACTCACATTCTTTTCTTTGTTACATTCTATTTTATTGTCCCCTTCAGAGTCACTAACTTCTATTATTTATAATTCTACCTGCTACAATATGATTTGCTCTGACTTATTTTACCATAACAACTCTCATAAGGTTGCCAATGCCATCCATTTTCCCAAGGGAGTGAACAGTTTCAACTTACACCTGTGAATCTATTGATTCTTCTTTTCAGGACATTAATTTTCTTAAATCAACTTTTTTTCCCTAGTATTTTCACCTGTTGTCCTTCGAATGCATGGCCTTTCCATCTCTTTCCTTTGTGGCTCTTCTCTTTCCTTTCTTAACTGTAGGAGGTCCTCAGAATCATGTTTAAGCCATTTTCTCCCTCTGCACCCTCTCCCCACATGAGCTCCTTCATTTCTGGGCTTTCAGTTACCACATATGAACCTCTAGCAGTTGCATCCCTTATAAATCACAAACTCTCATATCCATCTGGCAGTGCACATTTACGCTTAGATGTCAACCAGTCAGCATATAGAGGATATTTCTGGGTTTATTTTTATTTCCTCACATGCCTTGGTCTACCTTGTGGGGAGATGAATTCATTGGTTCTTCCTTCTCATTATAGCATTTGCCATAACTGATATTAAGTATCATTAATGTTTTAGGTTTCTTTCCTTACAAAAAACAAAGATACCAGAGAGCAGGAACTGTATTTGTTATGTTCACCTAGCTATCTTGAGGGCAATATACAACCTAATTTGGACAAAGTTAATTTTTACTTATACTTTGAATGTAATGAGGATGGATAAAGGAATTGTACTATCCATTCTTTTATGAGTTTTTACAACCAGATTTGGAGTTCAATTTTAAAGAATAAATAAAGAATATTTCATAGTAAAAATTTAATAAACAAGGCAAAATAATAAATATAAAGAACATAACTTTTGTTACACAATTCACAATGTAAAAGTTCACATGATAGAATATGAACAAAACTAATTTAACTCATATAAATAGTGAAATAAATAAATATTTAAATAAATAGATGACTAGATCCATCTCTATGGCCATCTGTAAGGGACTAGTGCCCATACAGCTCAACAGGATGTCGCTTAACACTCCTGAAAACACTTAACACATTTAATTCAACTCATGGCATGAATATAGCAGAAACAAGAGTCTTTGAAGTGGCACAACTTGTGGAAGTGTCAGCTCCTGTATTAGTCTATAAGAATCATTTCCATGTTACACCAAGTCTCATTCCTTAGTCTTCGATCTTTTTTGCAAGTTGGTCGATAAAGAGAAGGATCTCATGATTTCTGCTCTGACAACCTCCCAGGCACAAGGGCTGTGTTTCTTCTCTGTCAGATATAGAATGATTCTTTGGAAGTATTTCCTCACAGCCAAAATGAAGTCCTCGTACATCAGGGGAGTCTCTGTCACCCCTACCTTCTGCATTGCACAGGCTTCCAGATCATTCAGCTGCTGGTGAAGTTCAGTGTAGAATTTTTCAAGGAGGGTCTCGTCCCAAGCTGCAGATGAGTCCTTTGTACTGAAGAGGTTGAAGGTCTGCTGGATCATCTCATGGAGGACAAAAATGGCCTGAGCCTTCTGGAGCTTGCTGCCATCAAACTCCTTTTGGGGGAATCCAAAGTCATGTCTGTCCTTCAGGCAGGAGAAAGGAGAGATTCTTCTCATTTGTGCCAGGAACACCAAGGCCCTCCTGTTACCCAAGCTGTAGTTCTGAGGCAGATCACAGCCCAGAGAGCTGAATGACTTGTAGCTGAGCACCAGAAGGGCCACCAGTAAATGTAAGGACAAGACCATCATTGATGTTGCAGATGCTGCTGAGCTGGTTCAAATGAATGACCCTTAACCTCCGGCTCTAGGATCTCTGAATACTTTGGTTTCTACACAGCATTATATATAGGGAACATACTAATTTCCATTTTCTGAACGCAACTGCATTTTTTTTCTACTTCCTTTTTTTTTGCTTCCATTTATGTACTCTCTACATGGGCTTAGGGAAGTGTTTCTCAGTTTCTCAACCAGTTTTCTTTTCAATACTGCATTCCCTTTCTCAACCTCCAGAGTCCTGTTGGATATTTTTTTTCTAAGTAAACCCCTCCTGATAATTTAATAACACAGATATATTATGTGTATATATGGATGTGCTATATTTCTATCCATGCTTTATGTAAAAAACGAAGTGGACAGTTTATGCAATGCAGCATTAAGAATGAGTAAGAAAAATGTTATGCTAAAAGTTAAATTTAATATTGACATTTAACTTCATAGAAATTATTTGCTGAGTGACTTCACTTAATATAAATATTAATGTTTATGTTAATGTAAACATTAATATTAGTGTTTATATTAACATAAACATTAATATTAGTGTTTATATTAACATAAACATTAATATTTATATTATAAACATTAATATTATAAACATAATATAATGAATCAAGTAAAACATATAAAGTTATAATATATAAAAATATATATGCCAATATAGTAAAGATACTTATATAAACTATGTAATATCAATATAATAAAAATACTTAAATATCTTGAAAAAGTGCTAAGGGGCTATTTAAAATTAAATTATTCCTGTAATATTTAATTTGTTTTACTTAACTTTTAGTTTTTCTTCATATAGAAAATAATTTTTACCTTCACTAACTGCTAGATTTTCATCCAGGTATAGTCAACATGTTTTTTTCAGCACTTGCTGTAAGTACTGATATTTGGAATACTTTTATACAATTTCATAATAAAATACAAAGCATTTGTATAAAAGCATATAATACATTTGAAAGCACTTAGGATCAAACATAAGTTACATACCCAGAACAGCCAGTGGCAGCCTATTCATATGCCAATGGAGACCACATCACATGATATGACTCTGAGATTGAGCACATAGTGGAGAGAAAGTCCACGAGTGACAACCATCTGTTTCACATTGGTTTGTAGCACTGATCTCACATACATTTTGTTTGTCTTCCATGAGCTCAATGTCAATGATTTTCATGTGATACACAAGAAAATCAAATGAAAGAAAATAAATACTAAAGGATAAGATTTTGTTAGAGTTCGGCATTCAGGGGCCATAAATGAGTGTACTATCTACAGTTTGTTCACACTGCAAGAACTAAGGTTTGTACCCTTAGGAGCAATATCATCCCCAATAGAAATACATAATTGGGAAAACATCAATTTGATTTTTCAAAACAATTTTGCATTAATGTTCAGGTTTCCCAGAGAAGCTGAGGACATCCCAATTCTAGTTCATTCTTATGAAATTTAAAAAAGCCATCTGTTTCCTAAGGTCAATAGTAATATCTAAATATTATAAAGTAAATTAGGTGTACCATTGTTTACATAGCGTGCAAGACACAAAATATCTTTCTCATTTCCTTTTTCATTGAAAACAAAAGTTTTTGCTTTTTGTATCCCAATAAATGAGGATAAAAAGAAAACAACTATATATCTAAATGTGATAAAAAGATAGGAATGGAACTAATCTCCCACTGGAGAAAAAAATCGACAAAATATAGCTTAGATATTCAGCCCAGGTTAGATGGACATTAATGAGCGGGGAAGAGCAGAAGCAAAATGGTGGAAGAGATGTAGATCAAAGGTAGCAAATGGGCATGAGCTCAATGAAAAGTAATCATTACTGGTCCAGGGGAGTGTTTGCAGCTTTAGTGAATTCAGCCTTACTAGACAGTTAAGGGTGATGAACTTAATATAAGACTAGGAAGGCAAATTTGTGAAAGCACAATATCCTTGCTGTAGAATAGAAAGTTTAATTGTCTCAAGTTCTCTACTAGCAGTTAGATAAACTCCAAAGATCAATATTTTTCATGCTATTTGTTGTGACGGTTAAGACTGAGTGTCAACTTGATTAAATTGAAGGATGCAAAATATTGTTCCTAGGTGTGTCTGTGAGGGTATTGTCAAAGGAGTTTAAAATTTGTGCCAGTGGACTGTGAGAGGCAGACCCACTGTCAGTCATGGTGGGTACCATCTTATCAGCTGCCAGCATGACTAGAATGAAGCAGGCAGGAGAAGATGGCAGAGGAGACTTGCTGAGTCTTCTGGCCTTCATCTTTCTCCCGTGATGGATGCTTCCTGCTCTCAAAATCGTACTCCAAGTTCTTCAGCTTTTGAACTCTTGGCCTTACACCAGTGGTTTGCCAGGGCTCTCAGGCCTTTGGCCATAGACTGAAGGCTGCACTGTTGACTTCCCTCCTTTTGAGGCTTTGGGACTCAGGCTGATCTGCCACTGGCTTCCTCACCCTCCAACTTGCAGACAGCCTATGGTAGGAATTTACCTTGTGGTCATGTCAGTCAATTCTCCTTATTAAACTCCCTCTCATGTACAAATATATTCCCCTGTTAACTCTGTCCCTATAGAGAGCCTTGACAAATACATCTTTCTAACAAGAAGCCAGAGAATAGATGCTTTCAAAGGAAACTTCTCTCAACTTAATAAAAAGGATAATAATGATAACATTAATAAGGAAAATAAAAAGTTGCTAAATTACATCATGTTTCTTGTCTATCAGATATTGTCCTTAGCACTTACAAAAACAATTTTCACTTTGTCCAATGAGAAATACCCTCATTTTTTATGTTTATTGAACACCTACTATGTACCCACCCCTATTACGTGGCCAGAGACATCAGTGACCAAAGCAGTGATAGGTTGTACTATTGTCCTCTTTTACAAAAGAAAAACACAGAAGCACAGGGAGCTATTGAGTTGTGGAGCCACAATAGGAACCGAAAACATCTGACTCTAAATCTTCAGTTCTTATATGCTTCCTGGGAATATTTCTGGCCATGAAAACCAAAACTCTTTTCTAGACTCTGAACAATGTTTTCTCAGTACAGTCCTACATAAAGAATGATCTTTTTTTCAGTTCCTTCACTCTCTCCTTCATTGAAAAGTCCTATTTGTTCACACCTGTTTTGTTACATTATGATAAAGATGAGCCCCAAGTTAATTACATGTTATATATTAGTGTTGTTTTCATGAGAACATATGCTCATAAACTTGAATGTAATTACAAAACTCTTTGTTCACCCTATAGTATATCCAAAGGCAACTCTGTGAACTCCTGAATATTCCTGTCCTTTTGTTCAAATATCTATAAAATTTTAGGTTTCTATGTGTTTACCTCAAGTCTAAGCCTAAGACATGACATGCTAGAGACATGAGCGAAATCAGAACTAAACCAATACACTAATTCTCAGAGCTCAGAGACCACATCTAGAAGGACACACTAAAGGGATTAAAGGTGGGAAGGGAAGCACTTCTGGAGAAATGAGGAGAGTCCAGTGCCTTAGAGGAGGAGGACTGAGATGCCAGAGTCTCGGAGTCACCTGATTTGCCAGCTGGTTGATGTGTTTTATGTTTCAGGCCAGCAGAATTTACTGCTGAGTTATAAAATTAACCCACTTGCTTTGAGAAACTGGGCAAACATGATGGGCAATATGTGGACAGAACTAAAGAAAAGTGGTTGGAAAAAAGAATATGCTTACATAGGTGGAAAGAAATTTGGCAAAAATGAGCATAGAATTGGAGCAAACTATACCTTTGGCCTTCTATTTTTTTAGATGTGTCTTAAATAATGTGATAATTGTGTAGCCTTGTCTAGTGATTTTTCTTTTAGATTCTCCTCACACACAAGAATATAGATGAATAATCATTTGCTTCTTGTTATCTCCATTCATTTTCCAAGTGAGAATGGGATCCATTTCTGTTTGATTTCCAAAATTTGGCATTTAATGTTCAAAGGGCTACTTTAGTTGGAAAACTTAAGACTTTGGATTTTCAGTCCTTGGTCAGATGTTTTTGCCTAATTGTGTTCTTTATGCATGGTTATAATTCTTTCTTTTAGCTATCAGAGATGTTGCCTTTAGTGAACTGACCCATTTTCTCCTTAGAATATCTTACCAGGGGTCCATAAGATACTTATGGGCAGAGACATCATCTTATCCTACCTCATTCCTTGGCATCTTAGCCCAGTCCTTATAGTTTTAGGAGGTCAGTCAATATTTGTAAAAAAAAAAAAGAGTAATCATTATAACACTAGTGTAAATAATAGTAGCAATGCATACTAGATTTGTGATTTGAAAGAAAAATCAAAAGATAATTTGTGAATTTTTCAAGGTTCTTCATAAAAAGTTATCATTGAAAATTATGTGGAGTATTCAAAAAAGACCAACCATGATTGTAGGATCACTTTCAAGTATGGGTTTTTAATAATTAGAACATCTCAATGAGAAATAAGGACCTGGTTAAACTGGAAGACTCACTGTCTGCTTTTCTTTCAGTGGTCTTCAAGTACCTGCAGAGATACCTATCGTAGTTTCTTTTTCTTCTCAGACAATAAGAAAACAATCTCAATTTTACAACGTGTTCCATGGCCTTATTCCCATACTCTTAGCCTTTTTTCAACTTCATTCAGTGCCTTTGGGAATCAACCTAAATACTTCTTTCAAAAAATCAGTGATGCCATAAACTAATGGATGACATCTGTGTCATCTCTCCTGAATTTGAATTGTGGAATCAGACTTTGGAACAAATTTTTTAATAAAGTATGTGAGCAAAAACATTGCTCTTTTCTCTAAAAGTAGCATTAGTACCAATGTTATAAAAATGAAGATTCATCTTATTCAAAGAACTTGCCTTCTCTTCCCTCTAGTTACCTATTTGGACACTCTTTCACAACTTCTTTGCATCTTGGTATTCTATGAGAATAAATCCAGGCCAAGTTAATTTGGTTGGAAGAGATTTTTGCCCTGTAATATCTTGGCCTGTGAAAATATCCCCATGTGATGTACCCACAGTTTAACCTTTCCAA